GACTGAACAACGAGGTAATTAATGTCAAGCCATTTCTACCCAACATAAGATTCCTTGGATGACATCCTTGGTTCTGGAATCCATCTCAAGGGGCAGAAACCTTATCAATTCTACATTCTGATCTAACAGCCCCCCCCTTACACCAATAATTCTTCCCGTTTCTTACATGTTGTACCCACAAATAACCTAACCCCTCTTGCCAGTCTTTATGACTGTGAGTTAGGGAAGATTTTATCCTGAACTAAAGTTCTATTCTGACACTGCACTGGATTGTATTGAAATTACTGATTTTATCACAGTAAAGCTTGTACACAATTCTACTGAGTTTGAAATTCTGAAGACAGATTTCCGACTATTGCCATGTGTCATCAAGTCTGTCTACAAGTGTATTTCCTCATGACTCTTATTGTAGTCATGGCTTGCACACCAGGTTGACTCTGGCAAGCAAGTATTTGCCTGGTTACAGTTGGCCAGCATTGCTTTCAAACAGCAGGCAAGTTGGATTGTTCCTGTTCTCCTCCTTACGAATGAGAATCCAGGCTGGAGACACTAAACAGGAGTGCTGTGGCCAATTGGCTGTATGCCATCTTACTTTGGTGTGGAGAAATGATTGTGTATACTTCTGCTTTATTCAGTAGTACCATTGTATCTAAATGATTCCGGTCTAGGTCTATTTTATCTAAATAATTCCTGTCTAGGTCTATTTACGGGGATATTTTGTTTATTTATTTATTTATGGTAACAAAGGGTCTTGCTCTCACTGCTTCAAAATAGCACAAGGAAGTGCCTGTTGTGTGGGTGGGAGAGTGTCTTCCACCACTTGGCTAGTATCTAGCATTCTCCAGTGGACACCAGCTACGTCCCTATTGGCTGGAGGCAACGTATACATGTTGTAGCTATAAATAGAAAGGCTGTGCAAGCAGCACTTGTCTGCTCTTCTTCTTCTGCCACACACGCTCTTATTCTGTGATCTTTTCTTGATCTCTGATAGTCAGCCCTTTCCACCCTATAGTGGCAGGAAGATGAGAGCCATATGTTCACAAACTGGACTAGGAACGCGTGCTCCAGAATTTCTTGGAAATAAAATAAGGCACAAAAATTTGAAGCCATTTAGATTGATATTGAGTTAAGAATGTGTAGGAATGAAAAGGAAATAGTTATATTGTAAGACTTTAAATTAGCTGGTCCCAAATCCCTTATGACACCCAGAAATATGTGTCTGATGAGGCGTGGTGCTAGACTAAACTCAGTGACAGTGATGATTTAGAATCGGCCTTTGCAAAGGTCCTGGATTTGTGTCTAAATTTTAACACCCCCAAGTCCCCTAGACATGAATGAGGAAAGACACTGTAGTCATCCCAGTCAGCCTTCAAAGCAAAGCTAATCACAGCAGGGCCTGGAGGAGAGGAGCTCGAGCTGCTCCAGGTCTACCCGGTCAGGGCCACAGCCTCTGCATTCAGTCTCCGCCAAACAAAAAAGATTTCTTGTTGTTTTCCTTGTGCCCAGCACACAGCTGGTCGTGTCTCCCCAAATTCACTTTATTCTGTAGGGTCTGAGGACCAGAAAAAGACAAAAGGGAAACTTTTCCCATGGCTACTCAGAAGAAATTAAGCAAACCTTTGCATGTCTGTAGTTGAAAAGAGAGAGAGAGAGAGAGAGAGAGAGGAAGAAAGAAAGAAAGAAAGAAAGAAAGAAAGAAAGAAAGAAAGAAAGAAAGAAAAGATTCAACAAACTAAAGAAATACAGAATGCCGTTTATGTCCAGGCTAGTTTAGAGTTTAAAACAGATGCCCAAGAGCAGGGCATCATAGTACTATATAATAGCAACTTCACCAACAGCTTCATGTAGCTGAAATGCTCATGTCGAGATATTGGGGAAAATGAAGAATCCATGCAAAGACATACATTCTCAGTAGCTTTCTGCAGTGCTATGGCAACAAACATAATATCCTCATGCCCTCAGGCCTGAAATTTAAAAATGGTCTCAAACACCTGGCCAAGGCTTGGTTGTGTTTTAAAGACTGATTCGCAAAGCCTCCACTTGTAAGTCTGTGGTTGTGCCATGGTGGATTATTTTGTGATCCTTCATGTAGCAAAGCTAGTATATTTAGTCTACTTGGAGATGTTTTTCCTTTATTTTTATGTATCAGAAAATAGAACACATTTTATCTTCATAGCCCATTATTAATTAGTTAGCAATGTTCTTTCTTCATGGAGAAATGAAATAATTGCCCTTTTTACAAGAAAAGAAATAGAACAGCAGCACAGTAATGATGTTTGTATCAATTTAAGTTTTAAGATCTTCTCTGCACTTCATCACAGTGCTAAGTATTCTATAATTAGCATCCTTTGGGGAGGGTGGAGAGGCAGGGTCTTCTTGTGTAGCATAGTCTTGCCCTGAACTCATGACCTTTTGAGAGCCTCTTGCCTGCTGGGATTATAGGCATGTGTTGCCACCCCCAGTTCTGTGGTTATTATCTCATCTAAAGAAATACGAGTATTAGTGTGTGAATATTAGCCTTGTTTTATGGCCTAGAGAACGGACACCAAGAGAATTAACAGATATGAATGAGGCCTTGCAGAACCCAGTTATCTGAATGCAGACTGCACTCTTTTGCCAGGTTACCTTGCCTCTTGCCTCATCTTCTCCCCAGTTCCATCAACAATGGCATAATCATTACAGTAGCAAGCATTTGTGTGTCCCTTATGTGACTGACACTGTGTATAATTGTGTATGCATGCACAGGTGTGTAGACTCATTTAATGCAACCTATTAATAAGGGAGGACAGTCATTCCCATTATTTCATAGAAGAGGAAGGTGAGACACAGAGATATTCTTTAAGTAACAGAGTGACCTTGAGCCAGGCAGCCTGTGGGGCTCCTGCTTTGTTTTGTCCACAAGAATGTCAGTAAGAAGCTCCAGGCCCTCTCTTCCCAACATGGGAGTCTATCCCAGTGTCCACAATCATTCATTTGACTTCAGGAAATAGATGAATTAATCTTCCAGTTTACTATCTCCCTATGACTTCCCCTGATTCCCCCATTCTCAGATAGGACATAATTTTTGTAAACTGCAAAGTAAATTATATAATACTATTTCCTTGGGGCATTTTATTGGAATGCCAGCAACTAGTCACATAATACAAATTAAAAGATAGGGCAAAAATGAAGGAATGAAGGGCACTAACATGTTTAGCACCCAGTATGATGCAGCAGTTTGCTCATGTGGTACATATTTTCCTCGCCATCTACAGTTTATCTGTAATGTTTATGGTAGAGAGGATGGTGGGTGTAGGTGAGAGACTTAATGTAACACGAACAAGGTGACATCAATACAGAACATCCATGCCAGGGCTGTGTGATGACCATAGCTGACACACCAAAAATGTTCAAAATGAATACTCAGTATAGGAGGAAAGAGAAGCCTTTGTGTGATCTATGAGGATGGAGAGTGTGCACTTGGAAACTGCCAAACTTACGAGAGACAAAGCCTGACAGCATTGTCTCACTGACCCTGAAGGAGTGAAGGCATTTCACAGAACCAAGAAGTGGGCCTGGCTCCCTTCTCAATTTATAGTTCTGGGTGTGGAAGACTGCCTGGACAGTTTGAGCCTGCAGTCACTGTGGGACATTGCAAGACCTGAGAAGAGTTTGATGATGGCATCATAATCAGTAAAAGGAAACGACTGTTTGCTGAGCCTCAAAGAGCAATCTGTTGTTTTTTTCCTTTTTATTCATTTGTAAAATCCCAACTGCAGTTTCCCTTCCCTCCCCTCCTCCCAGTCCTTTCCTACCGCCCCACTTTCCTTCTTCCCCAGATCCACTGGTCCTCCAGTTCCCTTCGGAAAATAGCATCTCTCCCAAGGGTACCAACTGAACATGGTATAGCAAGTTACAATAAGACTAAGCACAAACTCTTATCAAGGATGGACGATGCTATCCAATAGGAGGAAAAGAGCACCAGAAGCAGGCAAAAGTGTTAGAGACATACCCTGCTCCCACTATTAGGAGTCCCACAAGAACACCAGGCTACACAGCCCTAACATATATGAAGAGGGCCTAGGTCAGGCTTATACAGGCTTCCTGATTTTCAGTTCAGTATAAAGAGCGCATCTATTAAACTACAGCTGAAATTAATAGAAAGTCTACAGTTAAAATTCAGAATTTGGCAAATGATGTAGAAAATTTGGCCAACTTTTTTTTGCCACAAATCTGCTGCACTTAAAAATATATAGTCAAAGATCTTCAAAAATAATGTCCAGGCGATTGAAAAACCCAGCATGTGATTTACAATATGCCACTGAATTTGAAGTGCTTTGGAAGAGCGTTTACTTAAACCTCATGAAGACAATGATTTAAAGCATGGAATGGAGCCACCAGCGTGGGCAGAAGTGAGAAAGGTTATTGCAAAAACAGCCTGTCTTCCCTCGTGTAGGGAAAAAAAAACAATCGAGAAGCAGGGAGAATCTGTAGTCAGTGTGTCTAAATGGCTATATCACCCTAAAAAATGTGGGTCAACACTGGGCTTTTCAGGGCCAAGATGAATTCCTCCTGCTTCTCCCTCCCTCTGTCCCCTCAGGACCCTATGATACCTTCCTTTGTGATCAGGGTAGGATAGAAACAGCAATGAGTTGGAACTGAGATTTGGAACTGAGTGCTATCAAATCAATACGCCAGCTGGAGCAGAAAGTCCAAACAACATAAATTTCTTGGAAAATGACCCTGTCTTTTGGCAATTATTACTGTGAATGGGAATGACTCAAACTCTTAAGTGTAGCATATCTCCCCCATCCCTATGATCCTCTGTGGTGTGTTTTACTCTTTTATTTATTCCTAGCTCACGATTGCAGATTTCTATGATGGTTGTAGCAGACCGACTCTGAAGGATGCATGCTATAAGACTATATCAGACTTTATTTTCATTTTATATTGTAATTCTCTCTCTCTTTCTCTCTCTCTCTCTTTCTTTCTTTTTTCTGTGATGGTTTTCCTTCTGTGTTATACTTACCTGGCAGGGGAGTTGCTATGGTCACATAAATAAGGTTTTTCCAGAATGGGACTGAACTCATGCACTCTGGATGAGTTCAAAATTTCTCCAAATATGAGGAACTCCACTGAATAGTTTTGGGTAGTGTATTCACATTCATCTCTATATTCAAAAAATAAAAATGGGAACACAAACTTCTACAGCTGCTGTGGAAATCATTATGGTGATTTCTCAAGACCCTGCAATACGACTGTTGGACATATACCCAAAGGAGGCACATTCACACCACAAGGACAGGACATTGCCTCAACTATATTCATAGCAACATTTTTTGCAAGAGCCAGATATTGGAAACATCCTAGATGTCCCTCAACTGAATAATAGATAAAGTAAATGTGGTATACTTACACAATTGAGTACTACTCAGTGGTATAAAACACTGATATCATAAAATGTGCAGGCAAATGGACAAAACTAGAAAAAAAACATCCTAAGTGAGGTAACCCCAAACCAGAAAGACAAATATAGTATGTACTCACTCATAAGAGGATATCAGACATAAAGCAAAAGATACCCAGCCTGCACTCCATAACCCCAGAGAAGCTAGAACCCTCTTCCAGAAACAGATGAAAGCAGATACAGAAATACATAACTAACCAATAGGTCAAGCTCTTGGAGTAAAATCGAAGTGAGGGAGGAGTGATAATATGAACAAAGAAGTCAAGACCATGATGGGGAAACCCACAGAATCAGCTGACCAGAGCTAGTGAGAGGTCTGATAAACGGGGAACCAGCATGAGACCGAACTAGACTCCCTCAATATAGGTGACAATGGTGTGACTGGGACAATATATGAGGCCACTGGCAGTGGGTTCAAGATCTAATTCTAATGCATAAACTGACTTAATGGAGCCTATTCTATATGAAGAGATACCATGCACAGGCTAGGTGCAGGAATGTGGGAGTGGAGAGGTACCTTGGTCCTGCCTCATTGAGAAGATGGGACAGACTTGGTAGACTTCCTAGGGGAGGCCTTACCCTTTCGATGGAGCAGATGGGAGGAGAGGGGGAATGGAGGGATTGGGAGGAGAGGAGGGAGGGGGCACTGGGATTGGAATGTAAAAAGTAAATTAATAAAAATGTATTTCTGTGGAATAATTCCAAAAGGAAAAACCAATACATTTGTAACTACTAACGTGTGCACTTTAAAAATTACCATATTTAAGCATAAAATCAGCCTAACAAGTTAACCTAATGAGCGAGAACCCCTGTGACTAGGCCCTGTTAGTGCAACTGAAGGAAGCAACAGGAATCCTTGCTGCATTTAGCTGATTATTATCTTTGGGTCATATACTGTAGGGAACCTGGTTAATCAATTCAGCCTTATCCATAGTGAACATACCATGTACAACCAGGGTCACTCTCTGAAGAAAAATGATTTGTCTTTATAACATCGATGCTTAGAGTTTGGCAATCAGAATATAAAACAATACACCTCACCTTGTTTATACCCCAGAACTTTGGCTTTTGCCCCCGTGTTGTTTTTTCATTCTTTCTCAGTCTTTGCCAATTTAGCAGGGACCATAAGTAAGGTATACTTTGGAATTCTAGTCACAGATTTGCTATTTAGCAATATTCTCCTGGATGTCCTTGACCCCTGAGATTCAGGGTTTGTTATGCATTTTCCTTTTCCCCACTCATCTATCCAAATGTATTTCCTGTGGGTCTGCTCTTGTATCTGGATGTAAGGTAGACACTGGGGACAGAAAAATGAACATTTTACATAGAAACCTGGGCCTTGGGATACTTAAAACCTCTGAGAGGAAATAGATGTAAGACAGATGGTTACAGTGATAATTAGATGGTTATGTTTTTGTTGAATGGAAAGAAGGAATAGCTGTGTAGAGGTTGACACCTAGTAGTAGACTCCAATGGAGCTTGTGTGAATTCTGAATTTCAAAATAGTAGGCCCAATAAACTGCCTGAATTGGGAACTGTGTCATTAGATGGGGAGCGGGGGAATAAACTGTCAAGGATACAGTACCAGAGTTTCCTGGTTTTCGTTTTATGCCATTTACTTACAAGGAAATAGAAAGTAATCTTTTTTGCTGGTGGGCTGACAGAAAAGAGAATTTGCATTATGCTGAGGAGAGGAAAAATATTTCAAGAACTCAAACTTCATTTGTCTCTTTGATGTGCATAACCCTTAAGGAGTTCATGTAAGCAATTGGGAGATTTTTGCTTGTTTTGTTGTTGTTGTTGTTTTTATTTATTCATTTTTCTTCCACACTGCTTTGGTGTCTTACTCAGAAGTTAATTCTTTTTTTTCTCTTTCTTTCTTTCTTTCTTTCTCTCTCTCTCTCTCTCTCTCTCTCTCTTTCTTTCTTTCTTTCTTTCTTTCTTTCTTTCTTTCTTTCTTTCTTTCTTTCTTTCTTTCTTTCTTTCTTTCTTTTGGCTTTTCAAGACAGGGTTTCTCTGTGGCTTTGGAGGCTGTCCTGGAACTAGCTCTTGTAGACCAGGCTGGCCTCGAACTCACAGAGATCCGCCTGCCTCTGCCTTCCGAGTGCTGGGATTAAAGGCATGCACCACCAACGCCCAGCTCACACTTTTATTTTTAGAAGTTAACTCTTTTGACAATAAGTTTTCTTCTCAGTTCAGAAAGAGGCATAGAAAATGAGCTAACTGCCCCTTGTGGCACGGGTTCGGGAGAGCTGGCCCTGCCTGTCTCACCCCTCCTTGGGGGTGGTGAGGCCGGGTGAAGAGCCTGGCTACCACTCAGTCACCACCCAGACCCAGATCTAGGGCCCAGAGTTGGCTCATCCCAATGTCTACTTACGAGCTGTTGGAGCTCGTGAAGAGGTCGGTCCTGTAGAACTATAGCCGAAGGATCGCCATGACTCTGGGCAACAGCAGGGTATCCCAGAGGAGTCTTGCTGAGGGGTCCAGTATTGATGGTGTAGCCGAAGTCAGAAGCCCTGAACCAGACGGAGGATTAATGGCAACGAAAGCTGTTTGGGCGTTAAGTGTATACCGAACGGGCAGACCGCGGTGCCCAATGCTACTACAACAGATGAGTATGTGATGGAGAGGTGGGATGGAGGAGCAGAGTTAGTTACGTCAGCACAGCGACAGCCGTGACTGGTATGAGAGAAAGCTGCAATTGATAGAGGAGCAGGTTGCTCGCCAGAGGGCTCGACAAGATGTGCTTCTCATTTCATTATTTTTTAACCTTAATCTTTAATTTTCTTTTTGGGGGAGGTGACAAGGGTGGAGGGTGGAAGCGGAAGAGCTGGGAAACGATTGGGATTGGGATGTATGATGTGAAATTTCAAAAGAATCAATACAAAAAAAATTCTGTTAAAAGAGGAAAGATAAATGAGGCAAATGATTGTCTGACATCCAGCAAAGGAATTTGGATTTTTATAATTCAATTCTGTCTTATACAATTCATCACATTTCAGTTGGTTAAAAAGATGAGGGGAGGGGGCTAGAGAAGAGGATCCATGGTTAAGCTCACTTACTACTCTTGCAGAAGACCCAGGTTTGGTTTCCAGCACCCAGGTGCTATCACACAGCCATGGGTAACTCCAGTTCCAAGGGAGACGAGGCCTGTTTCTTGCCTCAGTATGCATGTGGTATACATTAATACACATGGGTAAAACACTCACCTATGCAATAAAGATAAATAAGTCTTGTGTAAAACGGAAGAAATCTGGTGCGATAAGTGAAATGAGCTCTGTTCTAAGACTTTATGGAAGAGGAGACAGTGACTTCTGCTTCTAGCCAATCTAAGAATGGAATACTGAGGATTTCAAAGTCATCCCAGGAAGCTACAGGATTGCTCACCCAATGAGACCCAAGTCTGCGGGAAATCCTGCTTTCGTTGATATATTAACTGCTTTAATACCACTGCCTTTGCCATTCAGGGTATTTTGTGTTACTGTAAGATGAAGGAATAGATATAAAGTAGAGATAGAAGTGATATCCTTGGGAAAATGTTACTCGGAAATGGACCCACAGACACATTTGCCTGATTCATGGGATTTGATCTGAAGGTGCTGTGATAAGGAAAAATGGCAAGGTGCAGAAAGAGCGTGAAAAGAGAGGAGGTCATCCAGAGTGAGGGTGGGGAAGGAGTATGAGGAAGCGAGGTCTAAAGAGACTTTACTTCATACTGACTTAGGGCAGCTGAGAGTACTTAGCAGCAATTTCAGTGAAAACACTCTCTGGGGAAGCTTCTCTTTGATGGTTTGACTGCATTTGAATATAAATCCCCAAACACTGGTAAATCACAGGTTCAGAAGATCAAAACCTGACAGGAATCAAAACGCGAATCAATATTCAAAGGAAAGTTTACAGATGGGGAGACTGGGTTAAAACAAAGAATACACAATGTAGGTTTCTAGGTTTCTAGGTTTGCACTCTTAACCTAGCGCAGATCTGTTGCCTGTTCTTGTGTTGTTCAGAGTCCTTGACAGGAACAGACTGTCTCTGCTCTGTGGTCCATGTTACAGGGCTCATGAAAACCGGACTTCGTATAATTCTAATGCCCACTTCGCTGAGCATCTGAAATCAGTGCCATGTGTGTCACATCCTATGAGAGAAGAGACTACTATGTGCCCAAGATCTATATTACTGTTTGACCTGGAGGAAAATTCATCTTTAAGCTTCATTCCTCCCACCAAGAAGTCATGAGTGCTGACAGTCTGTAAGCCCGAAGACTGAATGAGGGAACACACACTGTGCATTTGAAGAGCATCCTGGAGCCCCTTTGACTTCATGTTTTATCGTACTTCTGTGAATTGTTTGTTCAACTTTAGGCAAGTTGCTTATTTTTGCATTTCTCACTTTCCTCGTCTGCATACAGACATGATATAGTGTCTATCTGAGAGATATTAAATACATGATGCCATAGCTACTAAATACATGAACTCAGTGATTTCAGTTACGGAGTCACGGCCGCTGTGGTTGTCTGCACTGGGCCTGCACTACGCTGGTGACAGAAATAATCAATCATGGAAGCAGGAGAGTTTCGAGGGTCATTACCCCTCCTTGGTGAACACTGACCACTGAGAGATGCTATAGGGGACCATTGTCTTCAGTTGTGTATCCACTAGAGAGTCTACCAGACTCCAGTGCTTGGTTCACACCTATGGTCACACTTGTGGG